GCACACTAAATCCACACTATCTCGAATACCGCTCCGGAGCGCTATTGGAGGCTTAGTGTATCCCATCATGCATCATGTTCTGGAAATAAATCGTGAGACTTTTTGCCGAGATCTCGCGAGAGGTCACGGAAACCTTTCCAATGCAAGTTAAATATTAATATATAATAATTAGATATTACATATAATTTGGTAGAAAAACAGTGTTTTTACTTTTATTGGTGCAAAGATGAGTAGTGGTGATATTTATTTTGTACAACATTTGCAACTGCTTTTTATCACTTAATTAGAAGCACCACAAATTAAAATTGTCATGTTATAGGGACTACTGAACAGACATTTAGAAGTTGATTTTAAAATGCAAAGTAATTAAAATTAAAATTAAGATAAAGTTATGTAAACACTTGCATTTTTACAGCACTACAAGTGTGTCCCATCAGGTAATGAAAAGTTCGACACACACTTGTGGTCTTCATCCTCACTTGAACACTTGGGCCAAATACAGGAAATACGTCATATAAGTAGTCAAGTGGTCAAGTGCAAAGACCGCAAGTGTGGGTATTTGGACAAGGCTAATGTCACCACTTGTAGTACACTTGAGTGTACTAGTGTATGAAAGATGGTTCAAGTGTACTACAAGTGGTAACTAAATACATTTTTTAAATACAGAGATAGTATGTTAAAAGTGCATTTTAGTTCATATTCATGGTGTCCCAAAATAGCACAGTTGAGTACACTTAGATGATCTAAAGTTTATCTTAAGAAGTACTAAAGAATCATTTTTAGTATATTAAGTACAAAATTAGTGCGTGAAAATAGAGCACTTCAAGTACATTATGGAAGTGCACTTTTTTTTTTACCTGGGTGTGGTCGTAGTAGCTTAAATAAAATGAATTCTTTTGAAATTTATTGAGCTTGTGAATACTTTTTTTTAATGCAAGTATATTTTGCAGTGAAAATTCACAACATAATCTGTATAAGACACAAAGACAACTTTTATAAGGTTAGTCAGTCAGATACAAAGAATGAGCATTTGTATTGGTTCCCTTGAAAAGTTCCTATTTTAGGTTTTTAGAATGGTGGTTTTTGATTGATTTTCAGTTTATATGAAAATAAGGTTCGTGGTTAACATTTCTTGAAGAGGCTTTAATGCTTGTATGTCCCAGTATGACGGAATCACTTAAAATAAAGTTGTTCTTCCTTAGGAGTTGGCGATAGTGGAACACTACCAGGAGCCAAACCACTAAAGCCCCCAGGTACTTCATGCCATTCACTGTACTCTTACTGTCTCGAAATATTTGGGCAAGCAAAGCAGGTGCTTTTTCATTTGCGAAAAGATTTATTTTATTTTTCTTACTGTAGGCATTGGAGGTGGAGCCATTGCTGGACGTGGAGATACCCCAGGCACTATTGAAGGAGGACCTGGAAGTGTAGGCGGTGGTCCAGGTGGGGTTGGTGGAGGACCGGGAGGAGTTGGTGGATTTCCAGGGGGAGTTGGTGGAGTTCCAGGTGTTGGTGGAGGTCCGGGGGGAGTTGGTGGAGTTCCAGGGGGAGTTGGTGGATTTCCAGGGGGAGTTGGTGGAGTTCCAGGGGGAGTTGGTGCAGTTCCAGGGGGAGTTGGTGGAGTTCCAGGAGGAGTTGGTGGAGTTCCAGGGGGAGTTGGTGGATTTCCAGGGGGAGTTGGTGGAGTTCCAGGGGGAGTTGGTGCAGTTCCAGGGGGAGTTGGTGGAGTTCCAGGAGGAGTTGGTGGAGTTCCAGGGGGAGTTGGTGGAGTTCCAGGTGGAGTTGGTGGAGTTCCAGGAGGAATTGGAGGAGTTAAACCCCCTAAAGGTGATTTACCATGAAAATCTTGATCTGTAACATGTCTATTAGCTGTGTTTTTCTGTGTTTGCAAAACGAGGTCTATAACACAATCAATGTGTTTCTTCTAGTTTACAGCGGTACAGGTGGAACTGGAGCTCTTGGAGTTGGAGGTGTAGGTGGAATGGGTCCAGCTGGAACAGGAGGAGCTGGACTTCTGCCTGGAGGTGGTGGTTTACTACCAGGAGGTGGAGATGAATAAAGTGTACTTAACATTTACATAAGAATGTAATTAGCTTGTGCCTTAGCTTGTGGGTTTGTAAATCTATTGTAGGTTATGGAGGAGCCGGTGGGATCCAACCAGGGACTGGTAAATATTTTTCAGATTAAAACAAAACACCACATTCCTGATATTTTATGTACCAGTTATGACAGTTATTGTTTTGCTGAGAATTGTATGTTTAATTTTTTGCAGGCCTCAGGTTCCCCAGTGGGGCTGCAGTGGGCAGCAAACAAGGAAAAGGTAGGCTACCAGAAAACATTTTTGCTAATCCACAATTCTTATGATGAAAATGTAGTTTGGTTGTATTTTACACACTGAACTGGAAAGACTGTTAAATAACTAATTTATCACTTTGATGAAAGTTTATGGGGCAGCAGGCACACTTGGTGGGTTTGGAGGCCCAGGCGGATATGGAACAGGACCCGGTGGCTTTGGAGGTGGTCCAGGTGGTTACGGTGGTGGCCCGGGTGGCTATGGTGGTGGCCCAGGCAGTGCTGGTGGACTTGGAGGGCCTGGAATTGGTGGTAAGTTTCTGAAGTGTTATTTGGGTGTTACACATCTCATATTCCTCCCACAATTTTAAAAAGGCTTAATTAGGGTAACCTGAAACATTGGGTAATGTGGGACACCCAAGCAGCTGATGTGTATATTTCTTGTTAACAATACCAGAGAGAAATTGCAAAAATCACCCAAATTCTAAGTTGAAGTTTCAGTTTTTGATAGTGTGACCAAAGAACTACAAGAAAAGGAACAACAGAAATGATGTTTTTACCTCTGAAATTTGGACTACTGACACTTTTTTACATTTTAATATTTAATTTTTTTAAAGGGCTTGGTTATGGTCCTGGCGCAGTAAAACCACCTAAAAGTATGTAAAACCCATAAAATCAGCACTTTAATACTACAATAACCTATTCTTTGTAGGTTAGACAAAATTTATAATCACAAATTTTTGTTTCTGTTTTTTTTTTTCATTGCGTTATCAGGCTATGGAGGAACTGGAACATTGGGTGGGGCTGGAAGAGGAGGAATTGGTGGAGGTCCTGGAGGTCTTGGTGGTGGTCTAGGAGTAGGACCAGGAGGTGTTGGTGGAGGTCCTGGAGGAGTTGGAGGACTGGGTGGAGGTATCATGTGCTTTAATATACATTAAACATAAGTTTGAGAGTAGTGCAATACAATTTGATGAAATTTGTTCACGTGGTTAGAATAGATGATATAAAATTAAAATGAGATAATTAGTATATAAACGACAAAATGTATTGCAAATGCCACAATGCATTAAATACTACAATATCCATGTGCATCTTAAATTACATTAACTACACATCTGTGCCATAAATAATTCATATTAAAAGTTTTTTTTTTTTTAGGTTTAGGTGCCAGATATCCAGGTGGTGGCCTGGGAGCTGGAGCTGTGAAACCTGGGAAATCAGGTTCTTGTGTTTTAAAATATCAATATAATTATGACTTACTAATACTATCATTACATTAGCTTAGGAGCCTAAATGTAATGGTAAACTACTAGTCTGGCTTGGATGATGGTAGAGAGAATTGCTAATTGTATTGAATATGCACTTGCAGTGTTCTTCACATCTTAAAAGAACAGTATATTAAAAAACTGTTCTTGGAGATATAATATTAATGAAATAAATGACCACTTAGGTGTACTTAAAGATGGTATGCTTTCTTGACGTTGTTTCTTAACACACTTTTAAAAAGTGCACTTTGTAATAATGTAGTTCAAATTACATTTTAAATCATGTTTTATTAATTTTTTTTAAATAAATCTTTTAATAATCTCAAAGAAGTACTAGGTGTTAACTGACGTGCTATAGCACACGTAAAGTACTTGGTTATTAATTTGAACTGTAGTGTTATATTGCATTAATATATTTTACCTGTACTAAATTGCACCTTCATCATTGCAAATGTGTAATTAGAAATATATTTAAATATGTGACATACAATTTGTGTGACATTCAAGTATAGTGTAGTTTACCATGAATACTTGTCAGTACTTTCCACAATACAGTGAAATTATATATAAAGGTGTACTCAAGTCCTGCTTAAATGGGTCAAAAAAGTGCTCTAAAGTTGCATTTAATATATATTTAAAATATAATACATTTTAATTTAATTGTAAATTAAATGCATTTAAGTGTCTGAAAATATTACATTCAGTTTGCACTTTACTATATTCTTTTAGAGTGTGTTATTTCCACAATAAGTATTGTTTTTAAAAGTAAAGTCAAGTGTTTTTCACAAGGGAGTATGAGTACTAAATTTGTACACAATTGCTCATCTCAGTTAATACCTCTAGCAGATGCTCGGCAATCAGATATTGCTGTGGTGACATTAAATTGAACCACTACTGACATCTTTGCCATCATATGATTATAATGTTGACATATTGTTTTTATTGTAGGGTATGGAGGTTATGGTGCAGCTGGAGGCGTGGGAGGTCTTGGAGGAGCAGGTGGAGGACTAGGAGGTCTAGGAGGAGGTGCTGGAAGCCCAGTAGGAACTGGTAAAGTTATATTTGTTGCATTGCCATTTAAGATTATTTATAATAAGGCAATAGTGCATGGTTTTTGTCAAATTCTTCTCATTTGTCTCACCAACTAAATGAGAATACTGGATGTAAACTTTGGACGGATTATATTTACTTGCCTTTGTTTCAATGTCCTGAAGGCTTTGGCACGGGTGCACTGGGTGGTCAAGGCTATCAGCCCGGTGAGCTATTATATCCTTCCTCAATTCTTCTTGTACCTATTGGGGAAATGGGCTCATCCACACTTATTTTTCTCTCAGTTGAATTTATAAAAGAGCAGAGATCAGGATACAGAGTTGCATTGGATCTTATTCTTTTCATCCATCCATTGAAAGTCCATGTGACCAAAACCTACATGCATTAAAAAGTACATATAGACATCATATAAGTAAATCATATGATTATATGAGTCTCTTTTGATGAGAGACGATCACTTTATTTGATCGACAGATTTCATTTCAGGCTTTTATTCACATATAAACATTGATCAATGCACATACATAGAGCACATCAAAAATGGTGTGAGGCTTAGGTCCAACCTCACTGGTTCTTGTGGAGGCTTGATTGTGCTTGCATGACACACAAGAACAAACCTCAGCGGTTCTAGTGCATTAAGTAAGCACGTTTGAGCATTCACTGGACATATCTGTTGTGCTCTTTGTGTTTCATTTGTATTTTCAAAGATGAACGACATGAGAACTTATTAAGAAATTTTTATTTTGGGTGAACTTTTGGGCTACTCTAGGTATTTAAATGAGAATAAAGAGAGAGGGACAAATTTAAGAGCAAAGTATTTTTCCATTACAGTTCTGAATGAATTACATGAATTTATATGATTGTTCTGTACACAACAAGATTGCATACAAATGGACATATTGCAATCCGTGTGTGTGTGTGTGTGTATGTGTGTACCTGTTTTTCTATTCTGGTGGGGACTTAAACCTGAATACACACAGACTCATGGGGACTCGTGTCACGGTGGGGACCTAAATTGAGGTCCCCACGGGTAAACAAGCTAATAAATCACACATAATGAAGTTTTTTGAAAATCTAAAAATGCAGAACGTTTCCTGTAAGGGGTAGGTTTAGGTGTAGGGTTGGTGTAGGGCAATAGAATATACGGTCTGTACAGTAGAAAAACCATTACGCCTATGGAGAGTCCCCACAAGGATAGCTGACCAGACATGTGTGTGTGTGTGTGTGTGTGTGTGTGTGTGTGTGTGTGTGAAAGAAAGCTAACACAAGAGATACTATGCAATGGAAGTCAGTTTACTTTAATACTTCGGATTTCTCACAAAAAATCCAACCAAATCATGAGAAAAGTCACAGCCGACAAAGACATCCAAATTAGCGTTACAAAACATTCTGGATTAAAACCTTACTAGAGCAACATTTTGGTGGTGTGTAAATAAACATTGAATGATGTTTTACTGTACCAGTGTGTTACACAATGATCAGTGTAATTGGTTCAGAGTGATTAATGAAGAGTTGTGATTATATTATATTGTATTGTAGGTTATGGTGGCACTGGTGCAGGGGGACCTGGAAGTGCTCCACTTACACCTCAGCAATGTAAGACGCTCTGCTATTTCAGCACACTCAGTGTTAGCTAATATTTCAAATGCAGCACATGATAAAATTAGAGTTTGGTCTAGACCTGTGCATTATCCACAGCCAATAACAAGTATTTATTGCTCGTGTCTTGTATGATTCTTTATAGCAAAAGCAGCCAAATATGCAGCTCTTCAAGGCTTTCTAGGTGCTGGAGGCTACAGAGGTACGTAAGCAGACATAAATGCACTTCTCTCAGTTTTTTCTATTGTCCATACAACAGAAACCTGAAATAATGACTTTTAGTTGCACAAGTTCTTGTTTTAATAAACCAAAAGAAATCAAACCACAGAACACAAAGAATCAGCTTTAAAATCAAAATGAAATTGACACCACTTTCTTTCATAATACACACTCCTGGTCTTATTAATGGCTCTTCAGTGCATGTTATTCCATGTGCATGTAAAATGGGTCTCACACAAGTTTTATATTGACCCTAAAGCTAAAATGCCAAAATACCACAGTAGTTTATTATATATGTATTGTGGTTATTGTAGCGAACTAAATACAAAGACCATTATGATAATTGAAATAAATTGAACTTTAACTGAAATATTATAAAACATGAAAATATAATAAAATATAAAAATATTAGTGGTGGAAGTGACAGTGTCTTTTCCTGTAGGGGGCGCAGGATGCCAAGGCAAATACTGCGGAAGAAGGAGGAAGTGAGAAACCAGCTGATCAAAGTGACCTCATAAACAAGTGGTGCTACTGCCTGATCTCAAATGCACTTTTTTACAGTTTAAAAGTGCCTCGTGTAATATGTGAATGATTTGGACTTACACTAAAGAATTTTTCTGCCGTATGATTAGATGTGATGGGAAACTCACAAGGCACTCTTTGCACTGCCTAAACTCCCTTTACTTTACTTGTGTCACTATACGTTTTCTACAAGTTTAACATGATTGCTTGATTTTATTTTCAACCATGTTACCATTTAATGTTCCATCTTAAAATTCTGCAGTTCCAGCTGTGCATCTCTTATGGTTTTGCTGCAGTTGTTCACTTACACTTAGCTGTGTATTTAGACACATGCAATCTAGGGACGTGTCGCTGCTATTTCAGGATGAACTGTGACAGTGGAGGAAGCAGCGTCATTAGGCTTCATGTTCTGGCCACCTATCATAAAGTAAAGGGAGCCTGTTTTTCTTTCTAGCTGTATGCATATGAGTTCATGAACCCATATTTTGTCTTTTCCAGCATCTTCAGTCATTCAAAGCGTAGTCACATGAAGGAACGCGATCTAGGCTTACCAATTTTAGTCTTATAAGAACAAAGTGCTTGTCGTAGCTGCAGTAGACAGCATCTAAGTACTGAGGATTATAAGCTGTCTTCAACGATACCTCAGGAACTTGAAGTGGTTTCTTTTCTAGTATCCTGACCCTAGTAAAACCTTGTTTTTGTTTGTTTGTTTTAACGTAACTCTTATTAAATTAAAATGTTGGGTTTAACGTGTACAGGTGATTGGAGACGTTTTAAAAAATAAAAAATTATATATATATATATATATATATATATATATATATATATACATATACATACATTTTATATAATACATTTTATGCAATAAAATATATTATTTTATAATTTTATATAATAAAATTTCATTTGTTTTTATTGGTTTAACTGTCTAATCCAATTGGACAGAAATTTTTATATAAAATCAATTCATGATTAATTTATTACAATTCAAATACATCAATCTTAAATTTAGGCCTAACTATTTTTTAAGTATAACATCCAAAATAAAATTCTAATATTGTATTTTATTTATATATTATTTATTTACCATGTAATGAAGGCAGATTTGAACTGAAACATTGCATTTTTTTTTGTTTGTTTACATAAATGTCAGTTCGTCAGTTGTCACGTGTTGTATTGTAATTTTAACAATTGATTAATGACCGTTTCTTTTGGTCAAAACAATAATTTAAAATGTATTACATTTTTTTTACCTTTTACATTTTTCATGTTTCATTACTTGTTTTGGCTTTTATAATTGTTTTACTTTTTTCAGTATAGCCTCCACGCCAGATATAATTCTGATAGCAAACCTTGTTTACAATATAAAATCGAAATTACTTCTCCAGTTCCACTCTACTTCAAAGTTTAAAGACTGGATGTAAGTAACCCACAAACAAATACGTGGTGAGCAGTTCCAAAGCAAGATCCTTTCATAATTTCTCTTGCATGAATGCACTTACACAAACAAACCCTCTCTTCATTAAGGAGTGGGATTTAAATGCACGTCTCTGCCCCGTCATGTAGTTCATGATGGCTATCAGCAGGTGACACTGGTCGGTTAACTCGTTTTTTTAAGCATTGTGTGTTGTGAATGTTGTATCTGTGTTTGTATAAGTGCAACTATTCAAATGTGACATGAAAGTATGATAAAGGCAATTCATCTAGTGAATCTTCTCGCATTGTTTACCTTTATTCTTCAGGTTTATGCACTTGTTTGTTGTGAAACTCACAACACATTTTTGTATGACCTTTGAAGAAGGTGGGCTAAAGTTAGGAGGAGTGGGAGGGATCTGTGTCTCTCTTCAGACACTTGGCAGGAAGCAGCAGCATATGCTGATATGAAAGAAAAACTATTTGAGTGTGTTTATAACAGTTTTGTCCTCTCCTCCCACTTCACTCCACCCCTGAAATGAGTGGAGGACAGTAAGAAAACTAGCAGAGCTTTACTACTGCTGCTATGCTCAATTCTTGTCAGGAGGACCTGTATTGCCGGAGAGGAGGGAAGGCAAGGTAAGTCAACTTGGACTTGTTTTGTTTACTAGTTTACGTTTTCTCTTAAGTTTCAATGTCTTATTTCTTTCTTTTCCTTCATTTCTTGGAAAAAGGCTCACAGTTGTGGTGTTTAGTGATGGTGGTACATGCCGTGCAGTAACGTTACATTTCTTGTCAAACAAAAACAGGAACTTCTTTGTAAACAGTCTACTTTCAGATTGTCATGAGATAACGTAATTCTGGAACTTTGTTAAATTCGAATTTATACTTTGTTACTATTTCCTCTAGAAGTGTAGAAATTTGTGGTCTTGTGAGCTGGGTTGAGACCCCTTTGGCATAGTCAACGTAAGCAGAATTGTGTTTGTGTTTATGTAAACCCAGAAAGAGAATTCAGACTTTGTTTGTTTCACACCAGTTCTGTGCACCCCCACTTCTCTACTGAGAATCTGGTTTACCAAAGTGATGCAGGACTATGATTACATTGGCATTTAGATGTGTTCATTACAATAACAGGCAAACTTATACAAAGAATGATATATGAGTTTGTACTGAATCCTGTCTGTAATAGAGTGTTATTATCAGACTAGTGGATGAAATGTGCAAAAGCGTATTTAATCTGGCCTAGAGGCGTATAAAGTATACTGAAATTGTACTTATCTTAATGTATTAATATTCAATTCTCAAGTATCTAGACAAAACACTGCTCAAATTATGCTTTGACAGATTTTACACTGAAATTGATTTCATTCAGAAAATAAAATTTGTGCAGATGGATTGCTTTGTTAGGTGATGTTTATTTATTCATTTAATTAAGTTATCCATCCATTTAGTTATTTTTTAATACGAGAAAAGGTTAATGAAGTCCTGGAAAGGACTAACGTCTATATGTTGTTGTAATGAGTAAAAAGTATTATCTTAGGAAATGTAATCTGAGTAAAAGTATTGAAAAGTTTCAATAACACTCAAGTAAAGCTCAGATTCTCCAAAATAATGCTTAATTATGAAGTAAAATACTGTACTTTACACCCCTGTCAACCATAGAATTAAACAACACTTTCTTGTTATTCTGCTTTTCTGCTCTTTGTTTAAAACTACATGGTGTGTGTGCTTACGTGTGTGTGTGTGTGTGTACATGAGTGTGTTTGTGTGTATAATGTGCATGTGTTTCCGTGAAACGGCTGTGTTTTATTGAATGAAAGGAAAAGAGCAGATAACCGCCAGCTGTGGAACACATGCCAGGCATCCTGCTCAGATGCAGCAAGAAAGAAAACGCCCCTGGCTCTAGCATTTTATATTCACTTCAGCTGAATCTTACTCTAACAATAGTTAATAATCTGATCTGATTGTACATTTATTCAAGTGACCCATTTTAGCACAAAACTTTAATGCGACACCCTTTTAAGTTTTGTGAAATATGCAATAAATAAGTACATAAATATACAAGTTTTCCTTTCTCTCTCTCTCTTTGTTAGGTGTTGTGTATGTAATTCGGTTCTTTCTCACTGGTACTATGAAAGAGATGGACAATTCTTCTGTAAGAAAGATTACTGGTCACGATTTGGGGAGCAATGCCACGGCTGCTCAGAGTCTATCACCACCGGTCTCATTATGGTAAGAACACAACATTGACAAATCAGTTCATAACATTAAAAATGAAGGAGAAATATTAGCTTAGTAAAACAAACTTGATGCTCAATATTTTGGTACCACATAGACTGAAAAAAAAAATTGGTTTAGGATTTAATTTTAGCTAATTTCCCATCTAATAAAAAAAAAAAACAGTAAGTAACACATTGAATTTAACAGGAAATTTTGAAGGTGAAAGACTGAAATATACGGTGGCCGAGAAGTGCTAAACAAATCACAATTCTGAAATCAAAATAACAAATTACAAAAATGTATTGTATGAATTGCCCTTACTCTGGAATAAAAAATACGGAGTGTATATTTACATATAGTTAAAAGTGGCTGTAAAACATCAGCTCCAGTGGCGCAGATGGATAAGCGCCTATCATTGGCTTTTTGACGCGATCGACTCGGGTTCGATCCTGCCTTTTCACTTGCATTTGCGTTTGTAATTTGTTATTTTGTTTTCAGAATTGTGATTTGCTTTGCACTTCTCGGCCACCGTAGAAATAGAAGTTTCCAGAAAAACATGCTCTAATAATGTGTTCTATTTACGTAAACTTAAAAAAAAAAAAGTAAAGTGTAGCCTTCATTATAGATTTTATCTGCATTGGCCAATATTGGATATTTATATGTGCATGCTCATTTCTTCTATTTTTACATTTCTGTTTACTTTTGTTGTCATTTACTGCTCAAACTTAAACTTTAAAAACATTGATTACACTGTTATAAATGTAATCTTCAGCAAATCTCAAAAAGAATACGCCTTTTTGTTCTGATGCTTAAATTGACTTATAGCATTTAAAATGACTGATTTTAGTTTTTAGTTTGATATTTGTAATTTTTTAGTTAAAATTGTATAGAATTTTAAAATCGCCCATTGCAGCAATTATCAGCTGTTGTAAATAATGCATAGAAAGCCGCATGGCCATCTTTGAGTGCCGCTAAGCACTTACACTAACAAGACTTCTGTGAAGAATGTGTTGTCCTGAAAGCAACAGAGCGTTTACTACAACAACATGTGACATTTCATTTTTTTTAAAGATACTAAAACACTGGGCGAGAACCTAGTGGATTAATGAATACATGCATTCCTTTAGTAGACTGCACAATCAAACAACAATTCACTCACTAAACGGTTACAGTAATTTGATCTCTCTTATTTTGAAAAGGTTCACTTGGAGGTTTTGGTGTTTTGTCAGTATTTCCTGCTGTGACCTGAGGGCAGGCGACCCCTCCCACTCACAATCTTGCTTCCTTCCATTGTGCTGCTTCACTTCTGTAGAATGATGTCATCCACCCTGTCCCACCTCAACTCCTCCCTTACTGTTTCAGCTGAATTCAAGATAAACTGTACTTGAAAATAACGTTGCCTCTTCCTTCCATCTCTGCAGGTGGCTGGGAAGCATAAATACCATCCCGAGTGTTTTCTCTGTGAAAGCTGTGGCATGGTTATTGGAGATGGTGATTCTTTCACTCTAGTGGATTATGCCAATTTATACTGGTTGGTTTTGTCAAAACATGCACTACTTGCTAATTGCTAAGCATTTTGATGGGAAAGTACCTCAGTTAATGAGTTTTCTTCTTCTTCTCTCATAGCGGACAATGTGGATACCAGAAGGTGTCAATGCAACACTCAGCAGCAAAATGTTCACGGCTTTCTCACACAGTGACATCGATGTCATTTCCTCCTTCTGCAGAAAGCAGGCGAGGTTTATCCTTCACAGTGCAGCAGAAGGACGCAGGCCCTTTGATCACTGTATCTCAGTAAGTTGTCAGTATAGACACAGTTACACCTGAGCAAAAATATAGGGCCACTAAACATGATTTTATTAAATAAATTGTTAAATTAATGATAGCATTCAATTAATATTGATATAAAAAAATTCAGACTGGACATGCACAACCTGAGCCCTGAAGTTAAGCCTTTGATCCATGTTGGAGACAGGATTCTTGAGATCAATGGAATTTCTGTCCAGAACATTCCACTCAATGAGGTCAGTCCTTTATCTCAGATTAGATAACAGTAATTTGGACGACACATCTCATTTCACCTATTATCCTTTATATTTCGGCTTT